CCCCCCTCCCTTGTTTTATTGTAAGCCGCCCGGAGTCCTTCGGGAGTGGGCGGCATGCAAATCAATAAAACTATAAAAAACTATAAACTATAAACAACAGCAATAGCACTTAGACTTATATACCGCTTCACAGTACTTTACAGCCTTCTCTAAGTGATTTACAAAGTCAGCCTATGGCCCCCAACAACTTGAGTCCTCATTTACCCACCTCGGAAAGACGGAAGGCCGAGTCAACCTTGACCCTGGTGAGATTCAAACTGCCAAATTGCAGGCAGCCGGCAGAAGCAGCCTGCAGCATTGCATTCGAACCAGTGCACCATCGCGGCTCTATAAATTTTATAAAGTTGTTTACCTTATAGAGGTACATCCAGTTCCACCCAAAACTGATGAGGAAACTGATGATCATAAGGCGCTTCATCTGAGTCAACCAACTAACACGTGTCCATAATTCTGTCGCAATGATGACTGAGATACTTGCTAAACATAAAAGAACCTTTTGGAGGAAAATAACAAGGAATGTCGTTGGTGAGAATCTATTAATTTCAACACACACATTTCTACCTTGTGATTAAAAATATGCTGAATAAACTGAATTTAAATAAGTATGATTGATTATCATCTTTTATAACTTGTGATAATGCACTGTGAACTGGGAGAGGCTTCATCTCGCTTCGTTTTTACACTCTCAAGTAGACAGTGTAATAATCGCAAATTCTATTCAACTCCCAGCGGGAAACTACTTACGACAAGAAAATTATCTAGCTCATATCGTTCGTCCTTTTTTGCTCATTTCCGAACAAATGAGTCAAAAAATTGAGGTGCTTCATCACTGTTGAGAAAATCCCATAAAATTAAGTTGTTCTCAAGTTATTGGTGTGTGTGGTTTGTTGATTTCTTTTTAGTATGATGTGCATTTCCCTTGTAGCTTGTTCATCATTAAAACTACTACTACAATCGTATCAGGAGCACTAAAAAGATTCTGGGTTGAAAGGTTGACATCGCCCTCTCTTTACATGTCCCTGTTAAGTTACTCACCAAAATGGTACCCATCTATCTACTTGCATTTGCCACTTATGAACTGCGGAGCCAGAATGAGTGATTGGAGCCTGCAGCAGAGGAACCCCGCAGCAGCAACCGGGTCTCAAACATCAGCCCAGGGTCCTAACTACGCAATCCACCAACTCCTATCATTAAAACTAATTTAGCATTGGGGGTAAGTAACCATTTTGTTACTCGTGTTATGAGATTTACCATTCATAAGACATTGTATTTCAGAAAGTTTCCCTTACCATGAAGACATTATATGGATCAACGCCAAATGTGTCCTCAAACTTCCATTTCCAAGTTTCATAATCATGAGGTCTAAAATTAATCAGGATACTATTAACGGCTTCATCTAGAGATGCAGATTTCCAGCCTTCTTCCTTAAGGAACTTGTTAATTTCATTAACTGATTGTCTGGTGAGGATGATTTCAGCATCGTAATGCACTTCCCTGGTGTTATCATTGGGCTAAAATAAAACAAAACACAAAAGAATCAAACCGGCCAAAAGTCGTTTGCAGAATAAATCCATGCAAAGCTATCCTAGCCGGTCAGTCATATGCTAAATCCTGATTGGGTGGCCTTTCAAAGGGTCAAGCGTAGTCATCAAACACTGCCCTCCAGAATGAGGAATTAAAGGAAATGTGTGTTTGGCTACAAATTACACTGAACATTACGTTGCTCTCCCCAATCACAATATACTTTGGATGTTGCTGTAGCAGCCACCAGCCAAATGTGCTCTGAAAGCATTTAAAGCTTGTAAAGTATTATTGCATTGTTAAAGCAAAATATTAAATCAGAAACTACCATAAAGCCGTGGCAGCTTTACTTTTAACGGTCTACGGGACCGTCTTCTGCCACATACCTCCCAGTGTCCGATAAGATCTCACAGGGTGGGCCTTCTCCGGGTGCCGTCAACTAGACAATGTCGTTTGGCGGCTCCTCGGGGGAGGGCCTTCTCTGTAGCTGTTCCAGCCCTATGGAACGATCTACCCCCAGAGATCCAGACCCTCCCCACTCTCGCGGCCTTCCGCAAAGCCATTAAGACCTGGTTTTTCCGGCGGGCCTG